GACTTAACATGATAAATAGAGAAATGTGTAGAGAAATGTAAAGAATGAAGATTGATGGATGGATGAAAAGGGGGAAGGATGGATGAGTTTTTAAGAGTCTGGGGCTGCAAAACGGGGGTTATTAATCTGTGTGTGTGTGTGTGTGTGTGTGTGTGTGTGTGTTAGTATGTGTGTCCAGCCTTCATTCCTGCTCACTTCACACTGGATGCATAAAAAGAGCAGTCAAAATGTGTGCGTGTGTGTGTGTGTGTGTGTGTGTGTGTGTGTGTGTGTACGATTTTTACCAGCAACAAAAGGGGAATTTCTAGTAGAGTCTTTTATTTGTAGCTGTTAAATGCTCGGTTACAGCAATTACAAGATCTCAGGAGGAATGGGGGAACCTAGGGAGGGGGCGCGGGGGAGGGAGGGGGATCGGAGATCACAAAGTACGAAAGGGGTAGATTAAAAAAATAAGAGGGATTGTATGCCCCCACCCACCCATTCCCAACCCCATCCAACAGAAGGAGATGAGAGAAGAGCAACGGAGAGAAGGAAATCTCCATCCCCCTGCCTCTTCCAAATTATACACACAGACACTGCCCTCCCCATGCCACAGCCCCAATTCCAGCTGCACCAATTCAAGCTACCAGATCTCTCTCTTTTTTTTTCTCCACTCATCCCCCCCTCAACCAAACAAACGAGCAAAGGAAATACAAGAAAAGCAACTTTTAAAATAAATAAATAAATAAATGAAATCCAAGGCATGGGAGGAAAATTCCCCTTTCCCCTAATTCCCACTCCCCCCCCATCCCGCCTCCCAATCCATTTGGGATGGATTTCTTTATTTGCAATAAATCCTGGGTTTTTCCCCCATTTTTTAAAGGAAGGAAAATGACAGATCTTCTCCCCCCCCGCCCCTCCCTCACCAAAAGGAGACTAGAGAAAAGCAACCAAATCGAAAGGAAGGGAGATATGATCATGTTTGGAAGAGCAGGAGGGGAGGGACGAGCCTCGCCCCTCGTCGGGCGCTGCGAGCAAGCCGAGCAAAGGGAGGGAAACCACTGCCCTCTAAAGACCACATCAAGAATGACACTTCAGAGAAATAAAAAGTTTTTTTTTAACGGCGTCCTTTTTAAATCGGGACTTTTTGAACACGCAGTGGGACACGGGACAAATTTTGAAAAATTGTGACTTTCCCACCAAAAGCGGGATGTCTGGTCACCTTAACCTATTCGGTAGAACCGGTTCGTCAAATCTACCAAACCAGTTAGAAGAGATTCCACCAGTGGACCCGGAAAGCAGGCCACACCTACAGAAGAGGTTCCAAAAACTTTTGAAACCCACCACTGGTGTGCACTATCCATTCTATCATTTTTCATCATCATTGTTTTTACCTATGATGTTCACATGACATCTCCTTTTTGTTCAATTTTACCAGAGAATATCTGATGCTTGCTAGATCCAAATACAAACAGATGAAGGAAATTTGTGTTCTGAAATTAAAAGACCTAGTGTGTGCATGTGCGTATTTATTAGACACACAGAGAAAATTGTATATATATATATACCATTTTAAGAAATAAGAAAATCAATGAACTCACCATAGCAGAGAGAACAAAGTGAAACATAATTCAATCTCTGTTCATCCTTGGATTCCCAAACAAACAATTTAAATCGACCAGTATCATCTGTCTAGATAAAGGAGAAGATAATACAGGAAGTAATGCATTGAAAATATTTTCTGAACCGCAAGGTATTTTATTTACACATGCACACGCACACACAGAAATATAAACTTATGTAACTAGAAAGGGATTTCAAGGGCCCATTAAAGCCCAGAGCTGAGAGTATATCAAAATATTAGAATCAAAGGAAAGCCCCAGTCTGTTTAATAGCAGGAAGACAAATAATGTTAATATATATGCCATGTTTTAGAAAGTGGAGTGGACATCAAAAACATTCAGCTGATGCTAACAGCTTTCTTTTATTTTAAATCTTAATCTGACAATCTGGAAGTAAAGTTCCATCTTTCTACAACAGTTTTGCTAATAAACATTTTAGAATTATTATTTGTCAGATAATTGCACTGAAAAATTCATAACATTCTAAATTTCAGATGAGAAGATTCAATTGTCCCTTGGTTCAAAATGTAGAGTCACATAAATTTGGCTTCAAGTATGAATAACATATATGCTGGGGAAAGGGTGTGATTTGCCTCCATATATGAAGCCATCTGATGTCTCTCCCCAGTCTGAATTTCCCAATTCAGAACTCAGATTGCACATCAATGGTCAAAATAATGCTAATATTTGCCATTGCTGGGAACGTGATAATGGAAGAAAAAAATCCACAAAGACACATACACTCCAGTGGTGGATTGCTAATTTTTTTACTACTGGTTTGGGTACCCTCCCGCATGTGTACAATTCTTCTGCTTGTGAGTAGAGCATCTGGGTGGTGGGCGAAGCTTCCCATTGCAGCTACTACCAGCTGAACCAGAGTGTAGCACCTCTGCTACATGCCCTTCTATAGAATTCCACTCACCAAATAGAAACATGCACCATGTTCTAATTTAATCTTAATCTTAATTTAAATGGATGGCTCTGGATCTACTTTCATATTTTCATAGAGATGTCTTATGATTCCCATTCTTTTAAAAGAAAAAGAACAGATTCACTCAGTGCTGTAGAAAATTTAAAATTTTATACATGGAGGCAAATCAAGGTCACACAAGGCATCATTCATAGGAAAAAATATATGCCTTGCTAATACCCAAACAAAATAATTCCTTCAGGGTTAGCTGGATATCTTTCAATATGGCCTGCTACTTTACAGTTGGTTCAAAAGCAATTAATTATTTCCTTTAGTGCTGTCAATTTACAACTTCTGAAACTAAATCAAAAGGATTTTAAAAATCTGGCAAGAAATCAGAGTAAAATTCAAGATTCTGTAAAAATCATTATACTTTAGAATGGGAATCTAGAATGCAATTTGGCTCTCTATAATACATCATACAACAATTAAAATGCAAGAATAATCCTGGATTAACTTCTGTTGTTGCTATCCTCAGCATGCATTAGTTATATCATGGGTCTGCATGTTTCTGAATATTACAGTTTTAAAAATAAAAAATTGTCAAGTACAGTTTCTGAGGTTGAAAGAGATTTATTTTTTTACTGATTGTCCAAATCCTATAATCAAAAGGGATAAGTTTTAGCTTCAGATTTTCTTTTACATATAACTAACTACAAATGACCAAGTAAAATTGAATTAAGCTTTGTGATTACTAATTATATATTTGAAATAAGAAACTACACAACACAAACCAAGTTTAACTATCCACTGCTCCAACATACAGATAAATAGATCAATGATCTCCAACCCTGCATTATTTTTCTTTTTTTCTGGTTGTTTTTTTAAAATGAGTCTATAAGCCAAGTATACTTTTGCTTTTCTGAGATCAAGTGGCAAAAGGTTTGAAGTTTTAATAAATAAATAAATAAATAATATAATAGTCTTCCAATTTCACTATTCAGTTTTTGTTGTTGAGATTATAATTGCATGTTTGACATTCAACTTAATGCTTAAATGTGAATTTGCCTATCTGTTTTCCATTACCTTAAATGATATGTTGATTAATTTTTTGGAATTAATTTGCAGCAATATAACTATACTGGTTTAATTCCATGTAACCTTTCTCTACTGCTAGAGATTTCCTGCATTAAATAAATGTAGCCTCAGATATGTGCAGTGGGTTTTTCCTGCTACTTGACATTTGGGAGGAGAGAGAAGAAGTTAAGTTTCAGAAACAAGATGTGGGTGACAGAAAATGAATGAGGGTCTCACTCACTTTGATCTCTCGATTGACAGTTTCAGCTAACCACTCTGGGAAATGAATTGCTGTAATTTATTTATTTGTATTTATTTGTATTCCACCTTTATTATTTTTACAAATAATTCAGGATGCAGACATAGGCAACACAATGTCAACTGTCCAACTGGTGAACCCAAAATAAGAAAACACTCTCAGGAGCTTTGAATTCCCAAAAGTAAAACTTTATTGGATACACCATTTTGGTACTGAAGAACGTCAGCTATCGGCTAACAAGACAAATAGCACACAGGAGTTTTCTCTGGCAATCACTTCATGGACATGCACACCGGGCAGCTGGTCTTTCTTCATCTTGGGCCACCAGAACTGCCTCTTAACCAAGTGAATGGTTCTTATAATCCCAAAGTGGCCTGCCGGCTTTATGTTGCGGCTTGTTTATAGCCTCTGGGTCGTCTGGCTGGCTATTAGATATAGTTTGTTTCCCTTCCATACCAGGTCCTTTCTCATCATTAGCTCATTTTTGTGGAACCATGCATCCTCTTTCAGGGTTTTCTTTAGCCATTGGGTCAGCACACTTTCAATTGCTGAGTGGTTGGTGACTACCGTCTTGTGGAGATCTGCGCTGCCAGTTGCCAGGAGGGGATAATGGAGTCAATTATTTCCTCCCAGGTACTTTTGTATTGGGGAATCTTAGAGAGTGCATCAGTGAGTAAATTCTTCCCCCCTGGCAAGTACCGAAGGGTGACATTGAACCGATTAAAGTTCTGAGCCCATTGTATTTGCTTAGGGTACAGCTTCCTTGGGGTTTTTAGGGCTTCTAAGTTCTTGTGGTCAGTCCACACTTCAAAAGGATTTTACTGCCTTCCAGTAATTGCTCCAAGTCATCACTGTCCATCGAACAGCATATTCCCACACCGACTAATGTCTGTCGGTGTCAGTCAATTTCCAGGAAGTGTAGCCGCATGGTTGCAGCATCCCTTTTGCAATTCTTTGGAACAGAACAACACCCACCACCATATTGCTAGCATCAGCTTGTATTAGAAATGGTTCCTCCAGTTTCAGGTGTTTAAGGGTTGGCTTCCCTGCAAAAAGCCATATAAGCTTTTTGAAAGCCACTTGGCATTCTATAGTCCAATTAAGTGGCTGGCTCGGCTTGGGTTTCACACACACACACCCTGCCCATTTTTAGTAATTCAGTGATAGGCAGATATATCTCTGCAAATGAGGGGATAAATTGGTGTTGGAAGTTGGCAAACCCCAAGAAACACTGTAGTTGCATTTTGGTCCAGGGATCTTCCCACTCTAGCATGACTTTCACCTTTCCAGAATCCATCTCCACTCCCTCACTGGACATGCAGTACCACAAGTAGTCCAAACTGGTTTTGTGGAAGTAGCATTTGGATAATTTAGGGTAGAGCTTGGCTTTCGATCATTTTCTTAACATTTCCTGCATTAACTTTATGTGAGCTTCCATCATCTCAGAATAATGAGGATCTCAACAGGTACACCAGCACTTCCTTATACAGGTGCTCATGCAATATTTAGTTGATTAGTTGCATGGACACCACAGGTGCTCCTTGCACCTGAAAAGCATCACCCAAAATTGGTAACACCCTAAGGGACAATTGACCATGTGATGGATTTGTGGGTGCCACTGAACCCAGGTGGCATAAAGACTCAGGGAAGTTGAAGGAAGAGAAGAAGCCCACAGAGGAAGCAGTAGATAATGGAACACTATATATGTTGAGACCATCTACTTGCCTTTCCAAGCCATGGTGAAAGCTATGGAGGCCACTGCAAAGGCCGCAGAGAGGGAACGCCAGCTGGAAGCTAGGCGCAAAAAGCCGGCTCCTGGGCACACCTCGCAACTGGACGTGACTCTGCAAGGCGCAGCTGCGGGATTTACCTCCCCTAAGGAGTTGCTATTAGAACCACAGATGGGTGAAGGATTGGCCTCGACTCACAAGTGTAGGGGAGCAAAGCAGACACCAACCGGGCACTCTGAAGATTGGGAATTCCTGCCACTGTCACGCAGTCAGTCATTGGCCAGCCTCTGAGACAAATTTGGACAGCTTAACATGAGTGGAATCAACCTTGCCTTAGCTCTGAGCTATCTAGGTGGACCCTGGCACAGCCAAAGTTCACTTTCCTGGGTCAAGACTCCACAACACACTGGAGTGGGGATTCCTCCCAAATCTCCTTTCTACAGCGAAAAGCAGGTCATCCCACAACCTCTCCACTGGAACAAGTCCATCGGCAGTCCCCTTTCACCCCAGGGCACAGATGGCCCAGTACCTGGGCTGGGGAGGTCAACCAGCTTTTGGGGAATACCAACCCCTAGCCAGCCTAAGTGGGCTTTCTTCCTGGGCCAAGGATGGGTGCAGTATCAGTGGATGTCAGTTCCCCTTCAGCAGATGGCACTGATGCAGATGCTTGGGTGTTTCAATCCCAAGTAGCGACCCCTCCAACTGGTCCAACTGCAACCACAGCCTGGAAGAGGAAGAGTAAATCCAAGGATTGAGGCAGGCCAGCCGGCCCATGAAGAAATTAGTTTGGGAGTTTAGAAGGGCGGCTGGAAAACTACAGGATTGGCCAGAGCAATTCCTTGTGCACAGGTTCAAGAATGCCCTAGATCCTGAGCTGAGAAAGGCATGTAGCATTAGAAGGGTGCCAAAGCGCATCCAGAATTGGCACACTACCGCAGTTATTCTGGACCATGAGCTCCACCCCCATCGAAAGCCTACCATCGAAAATCCTGTCAGAAGACCTCTGGGCTGCTGAACCCAAACAAAGCAAGCTGAAATGCTTCCCCCAAAATCAGCTGGAGCAATAAAATGTTACCAGTGTTATCAACCTGGGCACAGAGTGTTTGGATGCTTGGCCCCATCACCAGTTCTACAAGCACGGACCCCAAACACTAGTGGAACAAAGAGAACCCTATGAAAACCACCCAAAAAGAGTCATCTTGCCTATCAAGCGGAAGAAGTCTCTCCCCAGCCTGCCAGATGGGAAAACCTCTCCTGGCTCAGAAGAGGAAAACAGCAGTGAAGAAAACCTGATGGTAAGTACAACCATCCACCCCTTTGCTATCAAAGCCAAATTTATAATGCCCAAGACAGGGCATTAACACAGTTTGTGTAGAAAACACCCACCCTCTACCCCTCATGAAGGACATGTTGAATCAGTTGGCCAAAAGCAAGGTGTTCACCAAGCTGTACTTGAGAGAAATGTATTACCGCATACGAATCTGGGAGGGGGATGAAAGGAGGACCATGTTAAACTGCCCCCTTGGTAGTTTCCAATTCAAAGTCATGCTGTTTGGCTTACAAGGGACCCCTGCAGTCTTTGTGTAATTCATCAATGAGGTACTACATGAGCACCTTTACAAGGGGATGCTCATTTACCTTGATGACATTCTCGTCTTTACGGAGACCCTAGAAGAGCACGTAAGTCCTGTAAAAACTTCCAGCCGCCAAGCTTTACGCAAAACTATTAAAGTATGAATTCCACAAAAACTCCCTGGATTACCTCGGCTACCATATTTCCAGCGAGGGGACACAGAGAAAGTGAAAGCTGGGGTAGACTGTCAACCCCCATGCAACCAAAAATAGCTACAAAGTTTCTTGAGGTTTGCTAATTTCTATCGGCAATTCATCCCAGCTTTTGCAGAAGTTGCTCTGCCCCTAACCAAACTGTTAAAAACAGGGCCATTGCCGACAATGCCAAAGCCAAACCAGCCTATTGGGTGGACAATAGACTGCCAAAAAGTATTTGAGAAATTAAAATGGCTCTTTGCCCAAGAGCCCATTCTGCAATACTTCAACCCAGAACAGCAGTTCATAATCCAGGCAGATCCAGTGATGTGGCAGTGCTGTTGCAAAGAAACAAAGAGGGACAAATCTTGCTGTGCACTTATGTGTCCAAAACCTCACCACCATTGAAAGAAGATGGGCCATTTGGAAGAAAGAAGCATATGCGGTTTGTTGGGCATGACTTACCTGGAGACATTTCCTAGAGAGGGGGACATGCTATTCGAGGTCTCGACTGATTACAAAAACCTCAAAGCCCTAAAAAGCCCCAGGAAGCTGTCTCCAAAGCAAGTCCGCTGAGCACAATATTTCAGAAGATTTACATTTGAACTGAAGCACATTCCTGCTGGAAGAACTTGCTGGCTGGCACCTTATGAAGGAAACAGCAGTTTGACAGAGGGAGGAGTGATTCACACAATAATTCCCCCCAACCAAATGGCCACTCAATTCACCACCCATGGCCAAACCAGGCAGCCACCTAACCCTAGCCAGGACAAGCTGATTGCCGCAATGAAATCGCCACTGCCAAATGAATCCTAGCTAAACGGCAACAAAGACATCCTGACTATGAGAGATGGCCTAGCCTGAAAAGGGTCCAAACTATATGTTCCCACAAGCTTAAGGCTGGAAATGCTACAGCAAAGCCATGACACACGGCTAGGAGGTCACTTTTGATTCCTAAAAACTCTCAGGATCTTGAACTTTCAACTGGGTGGGAAAACCGGGAAGCTTTCAGATTCGGGTTTTCCCAGATGCGCTAACATGATTCTCTTAATAAATTGGAACTTTGAGGAATCCTTTGCCTCTGATGTACTTTTGGATGCTATTTGAAACCCTGACAAGAAGCACACCAGTGCTGCCATCCTAGATTTTGCAAGTTGGATGAAACCCCTAGCTAGATTTTTATCCACAAAGCTTCTGAGCTCCTCCATTTCCCTTGGAATCATTGAGTATATCTTTGGTTTGAGTAATTTTGCTCCAGGCAGTATTTCAATGTCGGTAGAGCAATGGGGATGGAGTAGGTCTGATTCCCGCTCACAAAATGCTTCAGCTAGGTCTTGGTACTCCTTTGGGATGGCCAGCCCTACCTGGCCATTCCCAGCTAATGCATTCACAGGTTCTATATTTCCTCTCACCAACAGTGTTTCACTACCTTTGTGCGTCATCCAAGTGCATTGCAATTCACCTGCTTTAATCCTCAAGTGCCACTTGTTGTCCTTCCTGTCAACTTCTTTAGCCATGCCAATCTCTATTTCATAGTCTCTGCCATTTTGGGGGCTACTATAAACCAAATAGTCTCCTTGTGGCTCCCTACCTATAGGGTTACTGGCTGGGTTACCATGCTAACATCTCCACCTGTGTGATCAATGGGGCAATGGTTACACTTACCATCAGATCATCCTCCCCTCACTGTCACTCTCATAGATCAGGTTGCGATTGCTGGGGGTCAGAGTTTTATCCTCATCACTGGAGGGGGGAGAGACCTCCACGACCCTCTACTCCTTCTTCTGGGTGCCTTCTTGGCCTTTGGTTGACTCGGAAGCTTTGGTGCTGACATGGATTGCAGGCTAGGCAATTGGCAGCCCGATGGCCCTTTTTCCCCATATCAGAAGTAGGTTCCAGGAAGGTGCCACGACTCTCCTTTGGAGTCAAGGGAGGGGCTGTCAATTCCTTGCACACCATCAGGCATCTCTCTTGGTCTTGTGCTGCATGTTGTCGATACTCCAACAGGTCTAGCTTCACTATGATCACCAATTGATACCATGCCCAGGTTGTCCAGAATTCCCCAAGGCAGGCAGTTTGGATACAGTTCCTTGTTTAGTCTGTCTCAGAAGTGATAGATCAGCAAGTATTCTGGCCACCTCTTCAGCTTCCCAGTCAGGCTGCAGAACTCCCAAATGTATTCAGCTACTGGTGTACTCCCTTGCCTTATAGCATGGATCCCAGCTTCTACTAGGCAGGCTTGTGCAGAGTCTCCAAATCTAGCTCAAAGATTATCCAGGAATGCATCCACATTCCCCAACTTGTTTCATAGTGGAGAAACATCACCCAGTCTGCTGCCTCGCATTCTAGATTTGAAATAATTGCATTTACACAGGGAATTTCATTTGGGTATTGTTCCATATAGTTCCAAATAGTTTCACAGCTAGTTCAGAAAATAGGTTAGCTTCTCCAGCCACTTGTCAAACATAATTTTCAGAGGGAGGGGTTTTCATTCATCCCAAACAAGTATATAACCCAGTGGCAGCCTCACCACCTGCTTGAGCTTGAGTTCCTGCTGCTGCAAGGATCCCCTGTGCTTGTCCTGCAACTGTGGGAGGACAGCTGCCCTCCCCAGGAGGACCCCAACCATTTGCCCCAAGCTTCCCAGCCTCAACAGTTGGTGTGAAGTCAAGGTTGTCAACACTTGGCCAGTCCCACGTTCTACTCCCAGGACCGATGATTTCTTCAACATCGCTCCCTGCATCTCCATTCCAACAAATGTCTCACACAGCTACTCCTCTGAACAGCTACAGCAGGCTGTCAGGAATTTTCATTTCATTGTTTATTCCTAGTCTGCAGCCCCCCTGGCCTTCCATTTTCTCCCTCGATTCATGGCCACTCCAGGCTGGATCAAGGGGAATTATGCTTCGGCTGCCTTCCCCCCTCCACTCAGCCATCACATCTTCAAGTCAAGGCAAATTGATCCTGCCATGGCTCCTTCCTCATGCACTGGTGGCTCTTCCATCTGGTCCACCCTCACCTTGGATCAGGTCACCACTGTCTGCATCCCAGAGTCAGTTTGGGCTGCTGCTGGTGCCTCCCATGGAGGGACCGATCCAGGCTTCACCACAGCTTTCCTCTCATTTCCAGATATCATTAGGTCACAGCTCTGTCAGATGTATCCAAATAGGCTGCACTGTTAAGGAGAGTTGGTTTAATGTCAACTGCCCAATTAGTGAATCCAAAAGAAGGAAACACTTTCAGGAGCTTTGAATTCCCAAAAGTAAAATTTTATTGGATACACCATTTTGGTACTGAAGAATTAAAACCACTTCTGGTTTTCCTGCACAAATCCTTGCTTACTTAAACAATAGCTTCCCTTTCTTTCCACCTCTGGGTGATCACATTGTCCAATTATGAGATGTCCTTTTATTATGGGAACAGTCCATCTGTTTCTCAAACACCTGCATTGATATTTGCCAAGCTTTCATGATCCATTCTCAACACTCTATTTCCCCTTCCCTCCTACCAGGTCATTGGCAAGTTGAAAAGTGTTAAGTTTGAAAGAAGCAAAGTGATTCAATCTTGACAAACACCTTTCTCCTCCTCCTATTTTCCCCATAGCAACCCTGTGAGGTGAGTTTGGTGGAGAAAGAATGATTTGCCCAAAGTCACCCAATTGGCCTTCATATCTAAGGAATTGTTAGTACATCATTCACTCATATCAAGAAAATGTTTTTGAGACCCCTCCCATCAGAAGAAAATATTTTCTAAAAACAAACATCTGGAGAATATATCTAGACTAGAGAATGGAGAGGAGTCAGAATTTAGTTAGAACTCTGATGGGAATTTCTAACAAACCATATCAAAACCCAGTTGCATGATTTCATGCCATCAATTTCCAGGCAATTCTGATTAGATCACTGAGAATCTTCACAGACATAAGTCTGATAAAATATGTTCATCACAACCACATCTATGGCATGATTTCATTGCTATTAACACCTCTCTGGTCACACCCCTTCATCAACCTGTAAGTTATTTTTTCTGACAATGACCTCCTTACCAAAAATGCTTCTCTGACATTTGATGCTTCTCTCAAAGCAATGACTGTTGGGATAATATCTAAAGCACTGAATTCCAGCACAGCTGTATTGATGGAAGCAGCATCTTGTGATGGGCCAGCAGTAAGGAAAATAGCAACTTTTCTGATAAGAGCCCCTTGGCGATGATGTTTAAAAGCATTCCTGGCAACAAAGCGCATGGCTCTTCCAATATTCCGCTGGCCTGAAGACCTCTCCAAAGGAATTCCCTCTACTGCCTCCATAAGGAGATCTTTTCTCTGAAAGTCAGAGAACCGGATAAGGTACTTTATATTGGTATTGTATGAAAGCACTGATATCCGAGCACCAGTTGGGCAATTGCTTCTGCTAATGCTCAAATCCTTCAGCAAAGACTTCATAATGCCTTTCATCGTTTCAAAGGAAATTGGAGTAACATCTTCAGACATGTCAAGAGCGAACACCACTTCAGTTGGGTAAACTGGACATTTGCTCTTCCCTTGTAAGAAAAGTAAAAATGTATCAGAATGTTTCTTGGGCTAAGAGAGCAGAACTTTTTTTCTTAAATATTATCTAATTCAAATAACTTACCTACACAGCAAGCTGTATGGGAGAAAAGAAAGTTGTTTTAATTCAAATTGTTATACTTATCTGATCATCTATAGATCATCAATAAACACTACAGAGAACTTAGTCTGAGCATTTTAATATTCAATATCCAATGAAAAATTGGCTTCAGGTTTGGATAAAACACTGAAAAAAATTGATATCACAATGGTAATATACCTTTTTAAAGCTAAAGTATATGTTAAAATTTAAGTGAGCCATGAAATAGCTTTGAAAAAATTGCTACTGTTCTGTTTAAATATAAAATATTAATGCAATTTAAGAGAAAAATGATTTAATTTGGGAATTAATTTTAATTTAAAAAGCTAACATTGTTTGCTTTAAAACAGAATTGTATTTCTAAAAATTTACATTTTTCTTCTTTTTTATCTTCATTGTGGCAATTCCCATTCATCATCAGCTATAACCAATGTGTAATGATCTTTTTATAATATCATCAATGACTTATTCCACTGCTAGGTTGCTATTTCTGTCTCCCTTCAAATAATCTCAAAGAATATGTTTTCTTGTAAATGTATATGGTTGGGGATAAATAATTTAATACAAGCAACCAAATAAAAATTAGTAGCTTTCTTAAATAATTTTAATACCATAGTAATAGTAGACCTTGGTCGCCTGAAGTTACTACTTACGGCAGTTTCCTCTTGTAAGGTTCACAAGTTGACAGGTCTGCAGACAATGGACAAAATAACATGATTAGTAGCATATCTCTGTATATATATGCTCAGAAACCTACAGGATTACTGTATATAGAAAGTATCCTATAGATCCTAGATGGCGAACCTATGGCATGCGTGCCCAAAGTGGCATGTGGAGCCAGGTCACCTGACATGCACAGTGTTGCCTGTTCCTCTTCCGGGTTTCTGACAGGCATGTGCATGTGATGATCAGCTGGCCTTTTGTGCGTGGGGTACTGCCGGAAACCGGAAGGGTTGGTCTTCCATTTTCCGGCGTGAGCATGTACACTGGCCACCTGATTGGCACCAGAAACCAGAAGTACGTTTTCCAGCACGTGCATGTCCCCTGGGCAACTCAACTTCCTGGTCGTGGCCCAAACAAGTATATATGTGTGCAAGAAGTGTGCACGTGTGTGCAAAATGCTCCCTTTTCGGCACTTAATGCTCAAAGGTTCGCCATCACTACATCTTGAGATTTTCTTATCTTTGAAGTCAGTTAGATTTAAATAATGTTCCAAGGTTTTCATTTAGACTGTTTCTCTTCTCCATGTATTGTCTGCTTAATTCATAGTTGGCCAAATCAGGAGAACCTTGGAAAATCAACAGCTGTTGAAGACTGTTTTTATGCTTAAACATATACATTTTAGTTAAATTAATTATGTATACAGAAAGGCTCGTAATTCACAATGTCAAATATAACAATACATACAGTTATAGCAGTTATGCCTTTTGGACCTTTTGGACCCTGGAAAGAGGAAAAATAGATGTATAAAATCACATTAGAAAGAAGATAGTGAGACTGGATGGATGGATGGCAGAAAAGAAGCAACACTAGATATTCTTAAACCAGTATTTTTTCAAACCCCAGAATTTGGTATGCTTCTATCCTCATTCTATTTTTATTGATATTATTTAATGTAGGGAAATACATATTTGGATTTTGTCTGATATATTCTTTTTATATATTTTCTGAGCAATGTGTTTTTTGGAATTCAGTTAATTGTGGCAAATGTGGAAAAGATCTATTTGCCTCACTGTTACTGCAACATCTTTTCTGATTTACAAATTAGTTTTTATCTTTTCTATTTATGCCTCTGAGGTAATATGATTTAAAGTAGACCACGACCTACTTCTTGGTAAGCTAGAAAAATGTGGAATAGACAAGATCATCACCAGATGGGTTTGTAACACTTGTCAAACCGTACTCAATGAGTAGTCTTAATGGTACATCGGAGGGAAGTAAGCAGTGGGATATCACAAGGTTCTATCTTAGTACTCTTCAATATCTTCATAAATGACTTAGATGAGGGAATAGAAGGGGAACTCATCAAATTTGCAGATGACACTAAACTGGCAGGAATAGCCAACACCAGAAGACGTTCAGGAGCCAAAAAGATCTTGACAAACTTGAACAATGGGTCCTATGCAACAAAATGAATTTCAATGTGGAGGAAAGCAAAGTTTAGATTTAGGCAGGGAAAATCAAAGATATGTAGAGATTAGGTGAGACCTAACTCAAAAATAGTATCTGTGAGAGGGACCTTGGAGTTTTAGTGGATGATCACTTGAATATGAGCCAACAGTGTGCAGCAGCAGCCCAAAAAGCTAATACAGTCCTGGATTATATAAAAAGACCCATAGAATCAAGATCACATGAAGTATTAGTACTGCTTTGTAAAACTTCCAACACCTGAAATACTGCAACCAATTTTGGTGACCATACTATAAAAATTGTGTTGAGAGTTTGGGAAAAGTTCAGAGAAGAGCAACTAAGTTGATCAAAGACCTGGAGACTAAAACATATGAAGAATGGCTGCAGGATTTGGGTTTTGCTAGTCTAAAGAAAAGAAGAATTAGGAGTGACATGATAGCAGTATTCCAGTACTTGAATGGATGCCGGAAAGAAAAGGAGGTCAAATTATTCTCGAAAGCACTGGAGGTCAGGACAAGAGACAATGGTTGGAAACTAACTAAAGAGAGGAGCAACTTGGATTTAAGGACTAACTTCCTAACAGTGAAGACAATTAACCAGTGGGGCAGCTTGCCTCCAGAAATCATGGGAATTCTATTACTGGGTGTTTTTAAGAAGAGTCACTTATTGAAAAAATATAGTATGAACTAGAAGACCTCCGAAGTCCTTTTCATCTCATTCTATTCTATTCACATTAGAAACATATAGGAAATAAGAGTTGTTTTATAATATTAAGCAAAGAAACATACTTAGTTTAAATTATTTAAGATGGTTAATTGTTTCCATAAAACAAAGTTTTTGACTTTTAACTGATCTCTTAACGAACATTTATAATTATCATGGACTCCCCAAAAATCTAGTTACAAACCATTTTTGAAGTTATAATACCTACATAAATCCCATAGTCATATGATAACATTTTGGGCATTTAGCAACCTTTATAACTATTTGGGGCATTCCACAGTCACTGAATCATGATATGTGATTTTTTTTTTCAGTTTCCAGCATTTATTATTTCTGATATTCAACAAAAATCACCCATTGTAGAATTTGATTCGCTTAACTGCTATGGCTCAATTATGGTCATTACCGTATTTTTCGGAGTATAAGATGCACCTTTTTCCCTCAAAAAAGAGGCTGAAAATCTGGGTGCATCTTATACACTGAAGACAGCATTTCTTGCCTCCTGAAACCTGGCCCCTTCACCAAAATGGCCATGTATAGCCTTTAGAAGGCTTTCAGAATGCTCCTGGGGAAGGCATAAATGTGTGAAAAATGGGTCTTTTTTGCTCAATTTTGCCCCCGGCCCCCAGGAGCACTATAAGCCTCTCAAAGGCTATGCATGCCATTTTTTAAAACCAAAAACGGGTGTGTTTTTGCAAAAAACAGGCCATTTTTGGTTCATGTTTGCCCCCTCCCCCCCAGGAGCACTCTACAAGCCTCCTAAAGGCTATTCATGCCCTTTTAAAAACAACGGGCCCGTTTTTGCGAAAAACAGGCCATTTTGGGGAGGTTTGCAGAGTGCAAAAACTTTTTTTTTTAAATTGCCTCTTCAAAATCTTGGTGCGTCTTATAGTCCAGTGCGTCTTACACTCCAAAAAATATGGTACCTCTTTTACAATGCATCTATAGTTTGAGAAATGCCTTCCTTGGAACCACATTATTCATATCTCCATGATTTGGTCAAATTATGGTTTTCTTAGGCTTAGCATCCCTTAGACCTGCTTTCCCACCCAATCTCTCCCTCTCAGTTCTCTTCTCCTTCTGGAATACAAACCTGGAGATTTCCTACATGCCTATGTTCAATTGGTAGTTTCATCATTGAGAAATCACCTAATCATATATATTAACATGCTCTTTATGATTTAAGTAACAAGCTGCAATCAACAAAACATACTTAAATCTGCAGATTTGTTTCAGAGAAATCTGGCACTGCATGAAAATTGTTTAGCACTGACCAATGTTTTCAATTCAGAAATAATAAATTTGTTGAGATGAAGAATCCAGATGGTGCTGCCCCACAACTTTCAACAGCCCTAGTTAGCATAACTAATTATTAAAAATCAGCAACATCTGGAAGACAAATTCCCAATCTTATTTTGGATTTTTTAATAAAAAAACTATTCTTTTCCTCCCCAAAAATATTTCAAATAAATAGAAGAATAATTTTAAATGCATGTGAAATCAGCTAATCTTGAGGGAAAGTTTCCACTGACGTCCCCACATTATGCCAGATGAAACATTTACTTCATTTGTTTATACATGTTTAATCAGCATTTGCTTAGACTTTTGTGATGTGTCCCAAATTGGGTTGTCTTTGAAGAATATTCAGAAACTGCAATTGGTCTAAAATGCTGTGTCATATATTGGTGAATCAGAGTCACTCTAGTCATATAGCACCTGTTTTATAGTAACTGTATTGACTACCAATACATCTAGGTACAATTTAAATTGCTGACTTGGGCTTAGAGTGTCCAATATAGTTTAACATATAGACATCTGCCAGACCACCTTCTTCACATACAACTGACTGATCTAGCAGGTACATCTCATCTTCTTTTCAACAGATGCAAGGGGCAAGGACCTTCAAACAATGTTTTTTTTTTTTACAGCTCAATTTTATGGAATAGCTTTTCTCTTGAAGTCTTCAGTGTTGACTTCCCACAAATTATTTAAGACTGATTTGTTTCATATGGTATTTGGAAAGAAGCTATCATCATTGCAATACTTTGTATTTCATCTCCATATTTGTTTTTAATTATTACTTTAAGTTGGTTTTATGTTTGACATTGTTTCATATTAGAATAGAATAGAATAGCAGAGTTGGAAGGGACTCTGCTTAGGGAGGAAACCCTACATCACTTCAGACAAATGGATATCCAACATCTTCTTTAAAATGTCCAGTATTGGAACATTCACAATTTCTGGGAGAATATTGTTCCATTGATTAATTATTCTGTCAGGAAATTTCTCCTTAGTTCTAAGTTGCTTCTCTCCTTGATTAGTTTCCACCCATCGCTTCTTTTCCTATTCTCAGGTGCTTTGGAGAATAGTTTTGTATATATCATATTGTATGATATAAACTTGTAGGAGTGTTTTAGAGTCTAGTGATACCAAAAATCAATCAATAAATTTAATTAATTTTGGTAATGTAGTTTGATCAATACTGTTTCAAATACCAATATTAGGTTAAATTTATATTCATATTACCATTTTTCCAGGTGGTCCTTGACTGCCTGGATTACCCTTTGTCCCCGGTGTTCCATTTCTGGCCTTAAATAAATACAAAGAGCATATTAACTCTCCAATAACAAGGCAACCTGGTTTAATTTTCATTACAAAAATTGCTTGAATGCTGTTTATTAGATATAAATTAAAGCAACTGGACTCTTGTTTAAAATAGCTGAATCTAGGTATGATAATTACATGCATCAATTCCTTTGTCTAACCTAAGATGATAATCAAACAAAAATTGTTAGATACAGCCATACTAATACATTAATTCCACTTAGGAATACCTTTGAAAGTGTGCAGAAACTGCAAATATTCCAAAATGATAGGGATTCACATGTAAGACCATGTTATTATATGGTACTATTGTCATATCTTACTATGACATAGTTACCAAGTTGATTATTGTTAGTTTTTTGAAATCAACATCACTCCTGCACTATCTTGAAAGGCAGCCACACATAGCATTGCATCTCTGTTTCCACATCCATTATTTTGAAACTAAAGTGGGCATTGTCTGCATAAGTAAAGATTTATGCAACTCAAAGTTAGTAGAAAGTTTCATTTTTTTAAAAATGGAAAATAAGGAACAGTCATTTATAACTGAAAAGTAAGAAAATTTCTGAGGCAGCAAGTGGCAGAAATAAATGAGACCAATTATCACACTGAAACAGATATTTCCTAACATGCTGCTCTTAAATCTGCTATACATATAAGAAAAAAGAAAGTACACAACAGTGTTGAGTGCCATTAGAATCTTCCATCTCTGTAAAACAGAAGCAGCATGGATTACCCTTTGTTCTTTGATTCCTTTGGCACCTTTATTGCCAGGATTGCCTGGATCACCAACTTCTCCCTACAAAAGAAGCAGAAGCAGAAATTGTAATCGGACCTGCAATCTTGGAGTACCATGACCCCCTTCTAAAAAACCTAATAATTTTGATACAGTAAATAGCTTTTTTTAATTTTATAAGAAGTGAGAATAGAGAGAATAGATAATTGATAAAGTTACCTAGTATTGTAGCCCAACCCAAAGTTTAAAACTTCACTATCACAACATTCACTCTTGCATACTGTCAGGGTTCTGATGGATGCTCTAATTTAATCATTTGCCTCGAGCCAAGCTTCAAAAGAAATCCAGTTATTTCTTAGGAGCAACATGTTAGCATGTACCAGGGTGGGTTCCTCCCGGATCGCCCCGGTTCACGCGAACTGGTGGTCAGTGAACCCGGAAGTAATTAACTTCCGGGAACGCCGATACCGCTCCTGGCTCCTGTCGCTGGATGCCTGCAGGGTTTTTCTTTTTAAAAAATGCCTCTCCGGATGATCTTGAAAACCTGCAAGGTTGCTTTGGAAGGGGACAGATGGGCAGCATTTCC